GTAAGTTTACTAAAATCGAAGTTTTGGATGATTTATAATTGAATTTTGAACATTTCATATTAAAAAACATCTTGAGATTCAAATCACGCTTCAAGTTCTGTGTCTAATGCTAAATTTGTTGATGGATTATCAATAATATTACTAATAACTAAATTTTATTTATTTATTTTAATGTAAGTACATTATTAAGAATTTAGTTATATTAAAAAAATAATTTTTAATATATGAAATTAATGATATCTAATAAAGTTTAATTTAGATGAATATAAAACATATGTATTTCTTTTTTTCTATAATGGGGGACCAACTCGAAGGCGGAAAAAGAATTTCTGGAATAAGAAGCGAGAAGGTATTAGCTAAGTGGTGATGGGGACGTAAAGAGGAAAACGTATTGGCTTCATGGGCATGCATTCCTAATTTATTGTGACATAACTTTTCGTAAGGAATTATTTTATAGATGTTCAAATTTAAAATTAAGACTTCATGATTATTTAAATTTTACCAAGGTAAATATTTTTAATATAACTTTTAAAAACATCACATAAGTGCTAATAAATAATATAAGATGAAATTAAAAAAATATATATTAAGAAAGTTGAGTGGATAGTTCTATTAAGAAAAAATTACCTATAAACCCTGTGATTCTTAGTTAGTTACATATCTAACACCTAAAGTTTGATATTTACATTCATAACATTTTGGTATACAATGCATTTCATTTTAAAAACTTATTAATAGTGATATTTTCTAGGAAATACTAAAGATTCAACTATGATATAAATATATAACTATGAAAGCTTGGGTCTTATCTTTGTAAATACAAAAGAATTTTGTGGTATGTACCTAAATTCTATTTTTCTTCAAACGTTAATCAATTCTTTGGTTCACGTTTAGAGCTTACTATCTCATTATGTTACTTGCCCCTTCCCGACATTGAAACGACTATGTGAGTTACTATAGATGGGTTGTATTGCTCTAATGTCTTGTCATTTGAGTTGAATAACATGGGAACGAATTGATACTAGATGATGGATCTTCTCTTCAAGGAGTTAATATGAAGAGGTCTGGAATTCTATGTCAATGAATTGCTAATGAAGAGTGTAAACCCTAAGAAAATATATATCTGATGCAAATAATGCTTTCATTAGTTTAAAAAAGTTTAGTATAAGGCTAAGCCTCTTAAAGTGTACTTTTTTTAGAGTTAGATCATGTAAAATTTTTGGATTCGTACTCATTTGAATAAATAAACATTGAGCCCGAACAATCGAAGCAGTATTTTGGTTCAGTAAGAATAAAAAAGAACAGTAGAATTTAACAGACCAAATAGTTAGTCTAACTAATTTATAACAAATTTGCATGAGAAATGCTCATCATTCTTTAGAGCACTAAGGAGTGCCAAGGTTTTGAATGGAATAAGGTTTATGAGAAGAAATTTCAAGAATTATAGATGTTGATATCACTGCTGCCTCAACTATAATTCTCATGTTATTATGTAGAGCTTGATTATGTTGATCAATTGTTAGCTCAGGGCTCTTAATTTTCATAGATTAAACTAGGTGTTGAACATGAAGAATGATAAAAGGAGGCCTTGAAAGAATCATTGGTAACTTTTGATTGTATGTAATATAGTTTTTCACTTGAGATTTTGTATTCTTTTGTGCAAGGAGAGAATTGCGAGTGTCCTCTTGTGTCCAAAGTGTAAAGAGGCTTGAGTATGGTATAATTTATAAAATTCTTTTCATTTTTACTTCATAATAGATTTCCTAATGGGATGTGGCTCTGTGGTTTTTTTTTTTTTTTGTTCTCGGGTTTTTCCATATTTAGTATGTACATGCAGTATGCATAAAAAATTAGATAAATTGAAATGAAATCGGCCAAGTAATATGGAGCTCCACAACGTCTAAGGGAAGCGCTACAACATCTAAGGGAAGCACCCCAACGTCTAGAGTAAGCACCTAATGAGTGTAAGTTAGCGCCCCATAGCAAGCACCTCATTGTCTAATCCAACCATACCTTACAAAAAGACAAGAGAACACGACTATTTGGTGCTAGAGGCCAAGCACTACCACAGCAGAGACTGTTATTGTTATACAACACACTACAAGAAAACTATTAATTAGTGCTTGAACTAGCGTCAGAAATATTTCCGACTGAATAGCGTACGTTAGCGTCGCCTCACAGTTCTGAAGTCAGAAGAAACGATGCCAGAGAGGTGCGTCAAGAAGAGGTCGCTAATATGATGCAATAGCATTGGATTAGCATCGGCTATGCTCGACGCTGAACTCACTTATTAATGCCCGTCAAAGCCGACGCTAATTCTAATGTTGGAGCCATAAAGTAAGGCTCACACGAACCGCATCTCTACTTCGTGCGCTCCTTCTCTTTTGGTTTCGTTTCGTTGCTTCCTAAGCTTTTCCGGTGATTCTAGCTCCGTGTCACCTCTTCAACCCCAGCCAAGGTGAGAAATCTTCTTTCACGCCTCCAAACTTTAATTTAGTATAAATTTTCATCTTTTTTTTCTCTGATTAGGTGTTGGTAAGTTTTTTTTTTCGTATTTCACTGTTAGGTGTGCAATGCATACAAATTTTATGGTTTTCCTTAAGTTTAGGTGTGAGATATGTAAATGCATAAGAAATTTATGCTATGTATTAAAATATTGCTGTGACATATGTAAATGCATCAGAAAACTGTGGTATGTATGTAAATATGAAATTTTGGTTTGAGATATGTGTGCATAAGAAGTTTGTGCTATGTATGTAAATAAGAAAACTTTAGTGTGAGAGTTGCCAATTCATATGAAATTTGTGCTATGTGTGCGCATATGGAATTTAGGTGTGAGACAGGTAAATGCATAAGAAATTTGTGCTATGCATTTAAATATGAATTTTAGGTGTGAGATGTGTAAATAAAAAAGAAATTTTGTGCTATGTATGTAAAATGAAAATTTAGGGGTGAGATATATAAATTCATCAGAAATTTTTGTTATGTATGTAAATATGAAAATTTATGTGTGAGATATATATGAAAATACATAAAAAAATTTGTGTTATGTACGTAAATATGTAAATTTAAATGTGGGATATGATATTTTAACTTTCCAACCTTAGTTTGCAGTTAAAGTGGTCATTTTAATAGATAGAACTGGTTGTAACCTAGAGATATCTGAAGAAGATTAGAAACACAATAAGGTTAAAACACTGGAAAATATAGGAATATGAGAATTTCCCACATATTTTTTAAATCTTTCTGAGGAATGTGGGCCTAATAATTTTTGCATGGTTGGGGAATCCCAATTATCATATGTGATTCTAACATTTTTTATTTGTAAAAAGTGTGTAAGATGTAATAGGCCCGATTGACAACTTTAGTAGGAAGTTATTTGAAGAATTTAGATTGTAATGAACTATTTCATGAGAGATTTTCACATCATTTAGAAAACACTTCTCATTTACTTTATTATTTCACTTTTACAACCTCATACTTTTCAACATTTTGGACTAAACCTAGGATTAATAAACTAATAATTGGACTATTTCATAATTAACCTATTCCTTCTGGGAGTGATACACATAATCATAATTTGTATACAACTAGATTAACATGTATATTTATGTGATAACGAGTGCTTCACCATATTTTTGATCAAGCTCCAGCTTCCCCAAACCCCCCACTATCACATCTATCCTCCTTCGAGGCAGGGCCCCCCATTTTTGTTGAGTCCGGTGTGATAGACATTACAAGATGGATACAAATTGTGTTGGATAGTATTCATAAGTAATTTGCTTTAATTATTGAAATGATTTTTTATTGAACTATATAACTGTTATTTTTCTTTTCACAGGTTTTACTCATCCAGACAGTACGTTCGTATGATCATAGAGATCATTAAGAGTAGGTATGATGCTCCAAAACTATAATGGCTAAAAATCCACATTGAGATTCATGATAGATAGTTCAAGAAGTTCGAAGTAAATCAAAATAATTTTAAATTATATTTATAATATAATTTTTTTCTGCAATAACTAATATTATTTGGTATTTGTTTTATAGAATGACTTTTGGTGACATATTGAGCATCATCAACAGATCCAGTGGAACTTCGAGGTTCGAGGCCAAAACCACCAAAGAGATATATTCATTGCTATTCTTTAGAAGTAAGAAAGGCCTACCTGGTTAAGGGTGGATGTCTGGTCTGTGTTAACCAAAACGTGGTCCACCCCTGAACATGTCAGGAAGAAGGAGATGACGTAGTTGAATCTGGCCTTAGAATGTGGGTTATAGGTGTCTTCTTACACACTAAAGGTTTGATTCCCCATAACTACTATGAGGAGAACGGTGAGAATTGTTCTCTGCATTAAAATGTTTCATATTGTTAATTTTTAAAGACATTTTAATATGTTAATAGATGTTGACGCTTAGTAGATTCAAGATGACAAGGTCAAAATTTAGGATGATCAAGCCATTAAACAGAACCCCACACTAACTTTTCTGTAAATTTTTCTACATTATTCTTTGGTGCCTTAAATGCCAAATTATCGTGCTAATCCAACTTTGGTACAAGGAAGATATTCAGAACTTCAAAACAAGGAGAATGTTGAAAAAAATGAGCTAAATTGCAACTGTCCTTGTCACATTTCTCTTGTCTCTTCACCACTGCCCTTTTCTTTTGTAATTACTTCTCACGAAAATAAAAGAATCATAATGCTAAATATATAGCAAAGAATGTACTTGCCATAACATAAAGTGAAGAAGCACACTCATCATTTGTGACCATTGAAGAACTCGTCAAGCCATGCTCTAGACAAGCATCGTTGGTCGAGCTTATAGGATTTACCAGTACTTACTTTATAATCTTAAATTTAATAATTTTTTTTTTTTTTTGGGTTGGATCTATTAATTATTTTTTCATAAATATAAATTAATCGTAGATATTTATAAACATAATTTTTGGAAGGTATATTCTATAATATAGTCCATATATTGAGAACCAACTTTCTTCCTTTCTTACTTTCTCCTATGCTCCTCTTCTTAGTAGCTATCTCTGCACTTGTCCTCTACTCGCCTTCCGTCCCTTCCCCTCATGCTATATTCCAACCCTAGATGGCTATATTTGGATGAGTTCTCGGAGAGAGAGCCGATTGCGAGAGTCACATCTTTGCTTTTCGAAGCTGAAGAACAGCTTGCTAGTTAGATTGATCACATCTCAATCTTTTTCTCTCTCAAAAACGGTGAGGTGATGAAGAGGGAGCACCTGGACGGCGTTGCCCGAGATGGGATTGTTGAGAATGTTGCTCCGGCGCCGGCAAGGATGGCGATGATGGGTTTCGACGAGGAGACAAACGACGAACTTCTTGCTGTGCTTGGGTATAAGGTGAGGTCCTCGGATATGGAGATCGTCGCACAGAAGCTGCAGCAGCTGGAGATGGCGATGGGGGGTAGTGCTCCGCATGATGATGAGCTGCTTTCCCACCTCGCCGTTGACACCGTTCACTATAATCCATCCGATCTATCGAACTGGCTCGAGAACATGCTATCCGAGCTTAGCACGCCTCCCCTTCCGCTTCCGCCGGTGATGCATCCTAATTCCGTTGTTTTCGATTTGCCTCCAGCCCCGATGTCGGGCCACTCATCGTCTACCTTCTTCAGTCCTGCTGAAA